TAGGAAAATAAAAAAAATAAAATTTTCTACTTCATAAAAATATAATATTTCCACTGAAATTTCCAGCATATTATAGATGAAATTGTGCTAAAGTTGAGAAAAACACATAAATATTGCCATTGTTTTTTGGCTTTGAAAACAGATTGCTTTTTCTATTTACCTGCTCAAACCAGTGTTCAGGGATTCACTCTTTTCCTAGTGATTATGGCATTGTGAAATGATCAGAGGGCTGTGTTCTACACTACGCTTTGGGTGTCAGTCAAGAGCTAGAGTCAGGAAAGAAACTGTAGGAGATGAAAGACTAACTTTTTCACCAAAAATTACTAGAATATTATTTAGATCTAATGGTTATGGTTTTCTATTTTGCACAATTTCAGATTTTGTCTTCAAAAAGACTGTTTAGATCACTTCTCCTATCAACAGCTGGGTTCTTCAGAATGTTTTAATAATTTTCATAAAATGGTTTTTAAAATCCCATTGGCATCGTATATGCCTGTAATTACAAATGTAGAACAATAAGCATAATGTAGAAACTGAGCCGCCACCCCCCGGGACCCTCCCCGCCTCCCGAGTCGCTTTGCCCAGTTGGCCCAATGGATCTCTTTGAGACGCACTCCTCGGCGGGACAGGTAGACTTCTCCAGGTAACCTGTTGTCGCGCAGCCTTGTCATTGGGCCACCTGCTAGAACGTCCGGAACAGAAATTTGGGGAAAGGGTGAAGTGCCCCGGTGTCCTGGCGTTTTCGTTTCACTAGCTGGCTGTATGAGTGAGACCATTGCTGTAGGAGTCCTTTTGCCATGTGCATCATTGGTGGTAATTACAGATTACCGTGTCTTTTAATGCTCAGAAACATTAAGAGAATGAAACTTTGAAAGCAGGGTGATGAGCTAGAAAATACTGTGCAGACCAAACTGACTCTCGGAGTTTGTGATTTTAAAAAGTATTTTGACAAGTGTAAGGTGGTAACGTAAGACATCAGGGGAACCTGGGTGAGGGGTATTTCTGAGTTTTCTTTGCAGCTTTTCTGTAAATACAAAATTGCTCCAAAATAAAAACATAGGATGAAAAAAGGAAATCGCACCAAGCCAGTCAGTGTAGTTCCGAAGAGTAAATCCAGGACAGATAGACACCCCCTCATAACTATTTGTTAGGGCTCTTTCTGCTTAAGTGTGCTCTTTTTCTGGATGAGAAGATTAGATCTTATGTATGAGATATCTTAAATGAATTATTCTTGTGTTTGATTATTGCCTGAAATATCTTTCAGAAGTTTGAGAGATTATCGATGAAGGGTTTAATGCTTACCTGAAAGAAATGATGAGCCTTTAGGGACTAAGCCTGCTTCCTGACTGTCATGACTGAGTAGACTAAGAAAGGCAACTGGTTTTGTGTCTATTTCTTGACATGTAGTTTAGATAAGGCAGAATTTCCAAAGCTAACATTCTGGCGTTGGGCACACTTTGGAAACAAGAGACACCTTCACAATGATCTCAAACATAAAGCTATTTGGAAAATACTTATTTTTTGTTGCTTGTACAAATGTGGGATGAGGGTGAGAATAAAAGGAAAGCTCTAAAACTAGAATTACAGGAGTTGAATGAGCTAAGGGCTGTCATAGTCTTCTGGAAGTAGCTATTACACTATTAATAATAGCTTAGCAGTACACCAGTAAATCATCCCATGTTCCACTGGTCCAGAAGCTGTTATACTCTGGTCCTGATGACTTAGGGAATGTCACTTTGTCTGTTTCTATATTTTTTTAAAATTTAAGATTTATATAAGCAGTCTTCCCCATTTTTAAACAGACTATCTACTTTGAACTACCTTTGGTGTTTGTTTTGTGTTAAAATAGTACACTACCTCAAGACTTCTCTTCTTACCAAATGACACTCCTAGGACTTTATGCCTAGGCATGAGTAAAAACAGTGGCTTGAAATAATATTTAATTTTGACGGAGGATAAATTAAGTTGTTGGATTTTTATTCCCCTTTTCAAAGATGTTCTCCTTTTTCTAAATCTATATCTGTTTTTAAAGAGCCTAGGTGACTGCCAAACCCTAACCTTTGTTGATTACTTGAAAAGATAATCAGTCTTTCTACATTCACTTTTAAAACAGGTAGGTCACCTTTAGGCCATTTACATATTTCATTTGTGTGTTGCAATGAGACCTGATCCTTAAATTTACTTGTTAGAATAGTGATAATTCAGAATAGTTGCATTTAAAATTTATTTTTTTCTCCTTTAAAAAAACTGCTTTGTTTTGCTAGAGTCAGTGTTTCATTTTTTTCTCTTTATTGACCTATTAAATAGTACCAACTGAACAGTTTTGAGACTGTTTACATTTCAAGCTTTGGAATCAGTAATGTTTGCTTTAATATTTTAAATTAACTCTTCTATAAGACTTCAGTAAGAGTGCCGTTTTTTTTTTTTTTTTTTTCCCACCAAACAACAGTGTTAAACACTTCTTGCCCAGTGTGGAAAACTAGAAAAAGATTTTTAAAAACAGATTTTCCCAACTACTTAAAAAAAAAATCTTTTTGTTCCATGGCTTCATTTATTGTTGTAGATTCTTAAGTGTTTATCTCTAAGATAAACAGTTAACTCCCATGCCAGAAAATTATGCCTCTTTATTGATTTACAGTCCCCTTTGGCCACATTCCATGCTCAATCTGCTTGTAATCAGTAGAATAGTCTAACTTTCTCATATACCCCCAAGGATTACTCAAAGTATCCCTTTTTCTTTCTGCCTCTTCTCCCCTCCCCCCACTTTTAGGTAGAAAATTTTTGAGGCATGGCATCCACAGGCGAAAGAGGGAAATAACATGTGGTGGCATGATGAACCATATGCACTCTCTTGAAGAGTACAGTCCTGATTGTGTTTGATGAGAATAAATGTTCCATTTTGCGCTCCTGTGTCTTTGTGTTTGTTTATGTAAGGTGTTTGAATAGCCTGGCATGTTCTTGGGGGCGATTTTGTTTGTTTTTTTGCCAAACAGTATATCCATGTGTAACTGCTGGTTCCCTGGCTGTCTAAATACGTTGTATCTTACTGGGGGACCCATTGGTCTGTGTTTAAGTGATTTCTTCTGGTCTTGTCTTATGTTACCAGGGTCAATGCTGAAGCAGTTGACTATTTTATAAAGGAGTGGCAAGAAATTGGTGTTTGGTTCTTTAAAAATTAGCTTATGATGTCTTGCAGTAGAAAATTATGATTTTTTTTTTGTGTGTGTGTGTGTGTGTGTAAATTTCTCTGAAGCAAGCGGCCAGTGTTGGTTCTTCAGAATGAAGCACTTTATCCGCAGCGGCGCTCCTATACTAGCGAGGATGAAGCCTGGAAATCTTTCCTGGAAAACCCTCTTACCGCAGCAACCAAAGCGATGATGAGCATCAACGGAGATGAAGACAGTGCAGCTGCCCTGGGCCTGCTCTATGACTATTATAAGGTTGGTGCGCCTGCTCTTTGAAACCCTTAACAACAGCCTTACAGCACTTGATTCAGCAGCATATAAAACAGTCATTTGCTGGTAGAATGTAATGCAAGTTGCTTCTGTAATGACTGTAAATAGTTTAATAAGTACTTTGACTTACTGTGGCTCAAAGCTGACAATCTAAGATTATAGAATCAAAGGTTTAGTTTTTTGTTTGTTTTTTCTTCACAATGTCTCGTTCTGTTGCCCAGGCTGGAGTGCTGTGGCATTCATGGCTCACTGCAGCATCAACCTCCTGGACTCAAGCGATCCTCCAAGCTCAGCCTCCAGAATAGCTGGGACTACAGATACGTGTCACCATGCTCAGCCAATTTTTATGTTTTTTATAGAGATGTTGGGGGGAGCCTCACTAAGTTGCTTAGGCTGGTTTTGAACTCCTGGCCTCAAGTCATCCTACCACCTCAGCCCCCCAAAATGCTGGGATTACAGGCGTGAACCACTATGCCCAGCCCTAAAGGGTTGTTTCTAAAACATGTGAAGTAGCCAGCTGCTCTGTCTCTATCTGAAAGGTGAACCTACCATAAAGGAAAATAGATGTGCCTTCTGGGGTTTGAACATAAGTGGGTAGGGCTAATTTACCTGTGCTCTAACCTTTATTTCTATGTTGTCAGGATGATTTCCTTTTCCCTAAATGATATTATAGATCCTTTTATTTGATTTGATTGTAAGATTCATTGGGAAAAAATTTCTCTAGTCTGGGACTTTTTAGTTCTAAGATCAGGATATATTTTGTTACCTGTTTCTAAATATTTGGACTAGTCTTATTAGATTATATAATGTATAATCTGTGTGGATTTTTACATGGTTTTCATTATCTGGAGATGATGTTACTAATTTGTCTCATCATCACCATTGTTATCGTAATAACATGAACTGCCATTGACTGGTGACCTGTATTAGGCTGCATGTGCTACCAGCATGTATGTGACTTTTCACTCTCAGGTCACACCACTAGGATGTGGGCAGCTGGGTTTTAGCCCTGCTTTGTTTCCTGCCAGAGGCCATGGTCTTCTTTTCAGTATAGCATGCTGTTTGCTCTGCTTCAGGATTCGCTTTGGCATTCTTCTTTCTGACCAATAGCAGATACTTGTGGATGACTGTTAAGAGTTTAGGATACTGTTTAAAACAGTACCCTGAGTTGAAGCACAACTTTGCCATGTAGCCTTTGTCTCATTATTGCTGTATATAACTATTATATGTTATTATTGGATTGGCATCACTATCTTTATAAAGAAAGGGTCCTCTCAAGATTCTCAAAGGTTTCTTAATCACAGTACTGCCTTATGGACATAAATACACATATTTTATCGTTTATTTTTGCTATTTTTTTGTTCAGAAAACTTTCAAACCTACAGAAGACTTAAAACAGTAGATAATCAACTCCTGAATATCTTGACCCAGATTCACCAATTGCTTGCTGTGTGTTACATTCAAGCACTGTAGTCTTTCCTGAATGTAAGAAATACAGAGGGGATTGAAGTAAAGAAGATAGTTTGATTAATTAAAATTAGGGTGGGAACTGAACAAAATGTTTAATTATTTCCTGGTGTGAGGCTGTGTGTCCGATTTATTAGGTTTGAGGGGTTGAGGTAAGGTTTTTTTTTCTTTGAATAGGAGCAGAAACTTATATAATAACTAATGAGGCTACAAGAAACCCTTGCCTGGGAAGCATGGCATAAAGGGTTGCTTTGAAGTGGAAATTATTATGTCTCTGTTCTTATAGCATGTTTTATTGACTTAATTAGTGTAAAACCTATACATTCCTAAGATATTCGTTATGAAGTTACTTTTTTTTTAAAATTGGAGTTTCACTCTTGTTGCCCAGGCTGAGGGCAGTGGCACACTCACTGCCACTGCAGCCTTGACCTGCTGGGCTTAGGCAATCCTTCTGCCTCAGCATTCCAAGTAGCTGGAACTACAGACACATGCCACCAACACACCCGGCTAGTTTTTGTAATTTATTGTAGAGACGAGGTCTCACCAAGTTGCCCAGGTTGGTCTCAAACTCCTGGGTTCGTGCAATTCTCTCGCCTCAGCCTCCCAGAGTGCTGGGATTACAGGCTGAGCCACTGGGTCTGGCTGAAGTTACATATTTTTAACTGAAACTTTTGAGAATGGAAGAAAACCAGCAAGTTTAGTGCCAGAAAGATCAATGTAGTAACACTAGTTACAGTGGTTGTATGTGTTTGTGTGTTTTAAATAAAGTATTCTAGAAGTGTCTGAAATCTCAGGAGGAGGTAAATCCTTATGTATATTTGTGAAGGGTGACAATTTTAGTAGTACTTATTTATCAGGCTTCTTGTGATAGTAAATTTTTCTTTTTTAGATGAACTGAATTATTTGATCAGTTCTTTGGTTGTATGCATCAGTCACATTATTATATAATAACTTTGGTAAAGCTTTAAAAGCACGTTGTTAGTACATGAAGCAACAACTTATTTTGTTTTTCACAGTGAGGCAAGGATGTAGGAATAGAATTCTCACATTGAAAATAATTTTCAGACTGGGTGTGCTCTAATCCCAGCACTTTGGGAGACTGAGGTAAGAGGATTGCCTTGAACCCACAGGTTTGAGAACAGCATGGGCAATTTGGTGAGACCTCATCTCTATAATAAATCAAGAAAAATTAGCTGGGTGTGGTGGTGGTGCACCCCCGTAATTCCAGCTACTTGGAAGGCTGAAGTGGAAGGATCACCCAAGCCCAGCATGTCGAGGCTACCGTGACCGTGAGCGTGCCACTGCACTCCAGCCTAGGCGACAAAGTGAGGCTCCAACTCAAAAAAAAAAAAAAAGAAAGAAAAAGAAAATAATTTTGGATTGGAATTAAGTGTCAGTTGGGTTGTAAGCTCCTATAGGCCATCACTAATGTTTGCCTACTTTTCACTTCCCTTGCTTAGAAAATAACCAAAGAAGGAACAGAACAAACTGAGTTAGAGTTGTCCTTTGGGTAATGGAGATATGAATTCCAAAGTATCTAAACACATTTGTTGTATGAAGGGAGCACTTGGGTCTTGGAACAAGTGAACTGTTAATTAATATGGCTGTTCTTTCTGCTTTTGCATTTGATGTGAAAGGAGAGTAGTAGGGAAGAGCTTTGAGAATGTTGAAAGTGCTCAGCTGTGTTTTCAGTAGCTTTTTCGCTACTATCTTGTGTAGATAAATGAGTAAAACCAGGGCAGAGGAATTTCTGTTAAGAGATGAAATCCAAACTCCACGATGAAGTAAATTTGTAATGCCCTGAGTTCATTTGGCAACTCAGATTGGTGAGTAGATTGTAAGCCCCTTGAGGGCAGATACTATCTTATTCGTTGTGTGTCCCCAGAGTCTGGTGTTTGGTAGGCAACCAGTAGATAAAGGAATGATTGAATTTGCTGAAAAATAAAAGTCTAGATCTCTGGGTAAACTACACTGGGTAAGAGCTAAATTCTTTTTATGTGTGTTAATACATCAGGTTCCAAGAGAGAGAAGGTCATCAACAGCAAAGCCAGAGGTCGAGCATCCAGAGTCAGATCACAGCAAAAGGTGACGTTTAATATATAACAGCATAATATAGTACACTTGAAAAATGCCACACTTCTGTTCAAATGAAATGGGACTTTGTAAATGAACAAGCACTGGTGGAAGAGGTAGGTAAGTTGGACTGTTAATACCTAGATTTAGATTTCCTCACTGATTTGCCTCTGTTGCTCTGAGAAGTTATTTGTTTCTTTGAGTGTAGCCATTTCCTTTTCTAGAAAACAGAAGTGTTAACTTTCTCCTCCTCCCAAGGGATGTTTTTAGTAGTAAGTGAAGTGTTAGCTTATTTATTTTTGAGGTCCTTTTTAGGAGGATGTGACAGTAGTGTGGGGTCTATTAAAAAAAACAATTAGGTACCAGTAACTCTTGAATAACTGCCTGAAAAAAACTTAAGTAAACTGAGTAAGTTATATTGAAACTTCTGTTGATATTATTTTTGAAACATTTTAGGTTAACACTTTCAGAAAATTTAATTAAGGCTTGACTTTATAGCCATGAAAAAGATTTTTAAAAGACACCTTTTAAATTGCCCTGTGTTTTATTATTAATCAAGGAATAAAACATACTTAAAGGAAGAATGACCGCTCATAATCCCACTGTCCTGATGATTTACTTATTCATTGTTCTGGTGTGCATACAAATTTCTGTAGTTGTGGCTGTGTTCACAGAGGATTTGGTAGAATGCTTTTTTGTATTTTGTTTGTTTTATAAACATTTTCTGTGCATCTGTTTTAATCCTCATAATTGTCCTTTGGAGGAGTTGTAGCTTTAATTTTTTACTTTTTATTATGGGCATTTTCAAACATAACAAAAGTAGAGAAGTAGTTAAATCTACACATGTCCATGACCAGCCTCAACAGTTGTCAACATACTTCCTCCTTTTGACCTATTCCTCTGTCTTCTTCCCCTCTTACTTTAGTTAATTTTTTATTTTATTTATTTTTGCTGTAAGATTTTGAAGCAAACTCTAAATATCCTTATCATTGCAGCTATATTCAGTTTTACACTATCACCAAACCTTAATGAACCACTTTCTAGATTTTTTTTTCTTATTCTCTTTCTCTAGGGTGTATCCTGGGAGTGAATTTGCGGTTCAGGTTTCAAATGGTTTTATTGATCTTGAAGTGTACAAAATTTCCATTTTGTTTGTTTCCTTAAAGTTTTCAGCTTATACAATTTCTGGGGGCTTTGAAAATTCATTTAGTTTGCCCACTGGAAATTGTCTTATATTGCCCAGAATATTAACGCAAATTGATGCTATATGCTATAATAATTAGTCTTCTTTTGGTACAAGAGAAAACCAACTAGCATAGCTATTAGGAAAACTGGTGGCCAAGTAATAATAGTTCATACTTTCTTGAACTTGTGTCAGGCATTTTAATATACATTTTAGTGTGTCATCTCATCTCATCTTTCTGAAGATGGATACCATTATTGTCCCTGCTTTACAGATGAAGATTCAGTTGCTCACAGATGAAATAATTTGCTCAGGTGACACAGAATTTGAATCCAGGCAATCTGACTCTGGAATCTGCGCTTTAACCCCACCTAATCAGATTGTTTGTAGCTTCAGGCTTCTAATAAAATATGGCTTTTTTAAAAAAGGATCATTAGAAATAAAGCTTATTAGAAGAGCTCTGAGTCTTTAGTATTCCAAATGAAATTTTATTTAATACTTTTGGATTTTCACTTGACCTATAACTATAACGTTTTTTCTTTCTCTTGTAATGGGTTGTTGTGCTGTTTTCTGTCTATTTGGTCTCTATCAAGTGTATTATTTATTGCACAGGACTCAACAGCCCAATGCCATTAGGAAAATAAAAATTGTCAAAGGACTGTATCAGTATTGAGTTTGAAACACACGATTTTCTTTTCTTAAAGAAACAGCATACCAGTTGTGGCGGAGCAGCCCCTCATTTCCGCTGGAGAAAACAGAGTACAAGTACTGAAAAATGTGCCATTTAACATTGTCCTTCCCCATGGCAACCAGCTGGGCATTGATAAAAGAGGCCATCTAACAGCTCCTGATACCACAGTCACTGTCTCCATAGCTACGATGCCTACCCACTCCATCAAGACAGAAACCCAGCCGCATGGCTTTGCTGTGGGAATCCCCCCGGCAGTGTATCATCCTGAGCCCACCGAGCGTGTGGTGGTTTTTGACCGGAACCTTAATAGTGACCAGTTCAGCTCTGGTGCTCAGCCCCCAAATGCTCAAAGACGAACTCCAGATTCTACATTCTCAGAGACCTTCAAGGAAGGCGTTCAGGAGGTACAGGAAACAAAAACATCTTCCTAAGATGCCTGTGTGTTTGTATAAGTATTGGATTCCACCTTTTCCTTGTTATGTAAGCTTGAAACTCAGTCTGAAATGAATGGATTAGGAGTAAAAGATTTTTTTTTAAGATCCATGGGTATAATTTGTAAACTAAACCTATAAAACCAGAAATTATTATCAAGGGCACATGGCTAATCTTACCACAGCTGAGTTAACAATTATAATTTCAGCTAAGTGATTTGCTGGAGAAAGAGAAAGAGAACCCCATACATAAATCTTCCATTGGCAACAAATAGATTTCCTTACTCTGTTTACAGCATTTGTCCTAGACCACAACAAACTCCCTGCAACAGGTCTTAATATAAAATGATTTATTATGTCTTGCTTGGTGTCTCTTGGTTGGTAGTATAGTCAAGGAGGTAGGTAGATTACATATGTGTGAAGTTTACAAATACAAATAGTTCTGAGGGTTTCATGGTGATGAACACCTCACTCAGCTACAAGTTAGGGAACGAAGGTGTTTGAAGCTGTATGTAGTGATTTGGGGCGGGCGGGTGG